GGGGAACCTGGCTGTCACATTCTGCTTCCCTCATTGTTCTTGTGTTGATATAGGATTAGGAGGTGTTAGATTCCAGGCAGAGTTAGTGGCATGGACACAAAGAGGCAGATAGCTTGAGAAATCTCACCCTCGCCAACACCTAGAAATAGCTTCACTGAAGCGTCACTGGAGTGTCATGTTGTACGTCCCATTAATGTTGGCCTCACAGCATGGCACAAATCATGGAATCAGGGGGTTGGGTTTACCGAAGGGGCATTCCCTGAAGACAGGGGAGAGGGAAGCCACGACCCATAGCCTCTCTCATCTCCAGAGGCAAGGGACACTGGGAGAAAGGCCCTGCCCATAGCACGTAGGTAAGGGTAGTATGGGGGCAAATCTCCTGCTGTGTTACTTTCTTTTCATGCAGATTTTCCACAGTTTAAGATGTGGTTCCAGCCTCTTCCTTCATTGATGGAAAACTTCCAGGGAGAGGAGAAGCTCAGGGGCCAACACTGCTGGGAGCGTGCTTGTGAAAATCTGGCAAGGGCTGGGGAGAAGACAGTCCTGAGGGTTTTTTAAACTCCCTGCAACCATGAAATCACCAAAACCCTTTGAAACCAATGCTTGTAACAGGAGTCCTTCGAAATAATTTCTTCCAGCTTTGATGCCCAACATCTCTTGCAGCAGGACCAGCCATTCCTTTGAAAGTGGGATTTCTCATCCCACAGCAGTATTTTAAGCACCAGTTCCTACCTTTGTAATATAAAACTGGCAGGACCATTCCTCAGTTGGGCTTATTCAGGAGTCCGTACCTCCAGTCATGTGAACACAAAGTCCTTCTTCTCCAGAATTACAAAAATAAAACTGTAAACAAGTATTTAATTTGTACCTCCCTGTTGTCATCACATTTTCCTTCCCTGTGGCTATAAGTTTCCAAGGCAGAAGAGACATGTAACGATCAAACATACTAACTGGCACTGTTTATTCCTGGAAGAAAAGCACATCAATAAAACAAGTAGTACTTCAAGTTAAGTGATAATAGACCAGGTGCCACATTTTGCAAGCTAGTAATCTGTGGATACCAGAGGATTGCTGCTAAAAAGAACTGGATACTCTTTCTGTTATTACTGTCAAATAGAAGACAGTACCTGGTGTCAGTTTATCAGTTGGAATTACAGGAGTAACATAAAAAAATGCTCCTCTAGTCTGAAAATGGCATTTGACTGCTGCCTACTCATCTATCCAAAGCCCCAATTCCAAATGATTTGCAGCCTGGAAATGAAAATTTCAGACATGTATCATGAAAATATCATGATACCATGAAAATATCATGTGTGTATATGTATCTCATGATATAGGATATATCACCATATTATATGTATAATATATATCATATGTATAATATGAGTAAGGTTAGCACTGAACCTGCCAGCTTACATTTGTCTGTAAGCAGAGGAACAGGAAAAGAATAATAATTGAGTTGCTCTTATTTTTATCAATTTTTGAAACAATTAGTAGTTAAAATTGTTTTAACTTTATTTTAATCTAAAGACAAGGTGCTATTCATGAGGTGAGAAAAAACAGGCACATTTGCACTTGAACACACTATGCTGCCATCAGTGATGATGCACTTTGATTGGAACGGAGATGTTCCAAGCTGAACACTGCCCCAGCGGAGATGCTGGGCAAGGTCTCTCAAGCTGACAGGGATCTCTGCGCTTGGACTGACAGCAGGCCCATGAAACAACTGATGATCTTGTGCCAGCCGCCTACTGGTGTTATTGAAGTGATAAACTGTGCTTATACTGAAATTATAAACTGGGTTTTATGCACAGTATATATGGAGAAACGGTTCACCACCAGGTGGCAGATTTAGAATTTCAAGAGAGACCCAAATGGCAGCACTGATTCAAAAAACCCCTTACCCGTCACCCACACATTTTAGAAAAGCAAACGGACATTCTTCTTCTCGTTTCACCAAGTCCAAGGATGTACTGGATGGATGCTACCATGCCCCAGGTTACAGCCTATTGATAGCTTAAGCAGTACCGTGTTATAACAAGCTTTAATCCTCAGATGAATTCTCCTTGGTTAAGAAAAAAATAACGCCTTTTTTGGTTCACTAGGGACCTTCCTAGAGAAAGAGTAAATATCGAATCCAACACTTGCTCGTTTACACCTGTACTATTCTATAGGCTAAACCCTACACAGGACATGTAATTTCTTACCAATTTCAACCATGTTGGTTTAGGATAGTGACATAAAATTGGTCCTCCAGAGCATTCATGGATAGAATGAAGGGCAGAAAATGAAAATACTGCCAAGGTATTTCAAGAGTGCTTAATTCACTCTACTAAAGCTACTCAGTCCTTCCTGTAAGAGAGAAAAGCATCACGAGCAATTTCCAAACGGTGGGGTTTCTTTGTAAACTGTTCATCTAAGCTCAGTACCACAATTTTGTATACGTGTGTAATGTGTTAGATTGCAAACGCTCTGAGGCAGGAACCATTTTTTTTCCCTCTGTTTGTAGAGGTTTTAGCATGCTGGTACCCTGACAAAGCACTTAAAGGTCATTATCACAATAAGTCAAGGTGCGTTACAGTTTAATAAGCTTCGAGAAGCAAGTATTTCAGCAGGCACAAGTGGGAGCTGGGGGAAAACCATGAAGTGAATGGACTCTTAATGAGTGTCTTAACTCCCAAAAGGCCCTATGATATAAATGGACTTTGGATAGTATAACCTAAGATTTAAAAATGATCTTTACTCTTTCACTCATTATCCATTTGACAATCCTGATTGCTGATAGATTAATCGAAGACCTGTTCCTAGTATTTTTTTTAAGTCCAATATATTTTCATTACTTTTGTAAGCTTTGTCATGACAAGCTTTTGCGTTTTTCCCCGTTAATACTTGCCATCAAAAAATAAGAAAACAACTGTTTTTCTAGGTTATCTATCTTCTACATAGACTACGAGCACTTGGAGCTGCTGATGCCAAGTTATACTTTGTTCTCTATGTTTTATAACTTTTATTGGTACTTGCTTCACTGTACAACTGCAAAATATAAGCAATAAAATTTCTTCATATTTTACCAAAGTATCTTCCTCGGTATGTTTCTGAAAATTGAAACACAGAACTTGTCACTGGACTGTAAGATTAGACCAAGCGTGTACAATGGACACACTCTAATCTCCACCCATAATCTGATCGGTGTTGCTCTGTTCCAGTTTCATTTAACATGTGGCTCAGATGTGTTGGATATACTGAGAATTATATTTCATAAACTACATATTCTGCAAAATCAAACTACTACATGGCTAGCAATTTAAAAACTACTATTTTAAGGCAGATTTGCAAAATATCCATATTGTGTTTGTTCACATATATTTGCTGCAGTCGGACCACAAATCATCAAACCAACAAACTATGTGTTTTGAACATAAAACCAACACAATTAAAGAAACAACCACTGCAATTTAATAGCAACAATCTCACTTTACAAGATAATAACGATGGAAACTTTGTGAAGGAATCTGAAAAAGAATGTAATTAAAAATGACAGATTTAAGACAACAGAAAGTTGAAAATTAAATAGCATAATAATTCTAGTATGCGGAAATCTTAACCAGAATGTTTACTTGACGCAGCGTTCTGATTAATAAGTGACACTGTATTACCAGCACTTACTGACATCCGATAAATACTATTCCTTTAAAGTAGTGTTTTTCTGTTCAGCGACCTTGCACAGACTGACCATGAGCACCCCAGACGCCAGAGCCAGTTCGCGTGTGGTCAGTAGCAAAATTCCTAAACAGAACAGGAAAGGACCTGGAACGCATGTGATGTCTAAAACATAACTTACTGCTAATACAGTGATTTCAATATTCAATGCACTCCACAAATATTATTTTAGATTTCTTTTACAACATATACCACTTCCAAACATGAATTAAAGCAAAACAGAGGTGATGTGGCTTTGTGGATAGAGAGGAGCACTGAACTGTGAACTAGGAAATCAGGATTCAGTTCCTGGCTCGAGCCCAGACTCCCAGGTAAGACATTCAGTAAGATGGACATTAAAACACTGGCCTCCTAAGAAAACTTTGAAATCTACTGAAAAAAAGGGCAATGAATCTGAGTCAGGGCTTATTATTAAAAAATTAAATAGGAACTATATAACACTTTCTCTGATCACTTTAGAGATTACATAATAATTAACTTTATTAAGCATGACTGCTGCTAATGCTGCATAAAAATAATCAAATGAAACATGATAAACTGACTGTATACGAAGGATTCCACAAAAGTGGAAGTCTCATACTTTCCCTTCTTTGAACCCAATTCATGAAGGAGTCAGAAGCGTGCAGTAAGTGTGAGTACCCGCAGAAATCTCAGCAAGAAAACTGGTCCCACGGGAAGCATGACTCTGCAGACAATTCTGGTGATACCAGGATTTCATTTCCGAAGTCTTCAGTGATACTTAAGCAAAATAGTTACATATTTATCAAGATAGGGAGGATGCTTTTCTGAAAAGGGATCTCAATTTCAGTATTGACTGAAGTTCATGAGAACTGCATAAGAAAGTGTGTTAGTAATTCACACAGGCATAAATATGCACAGCAAAATTGAAACCAAAGTATTCTTCTTATTAAATAATATAAAATAATGTGATGACCACCAACAGAGAAAAAAATCCACAAAGATATTTTTTGCAGTTTATTTTCTATTATAATTTTTGGATAACCAAGCAGCTCTGTATGGAGAAAGCACAGAAGAGTCATTCTGGCACTTTTGGATAGTACATTTTTTTTTTTTTTTCCCAAAATTTTTCTAGACACATTCAGTCCACTTGCTCGGTCTATAGTCCATTTTATATGAGCATGATTAGCTCGTATGATTCCAGAGGAAACTAACAATATATACAGTCAATGAAACTATCTTCTTGGCTACTCTGGGCCCTTTAAAATGTCTTCTAAGTCTATCCTGGCTAAACAGAATCCACAATATACATGATAGCTACCGAATACACTGTCTTGAAATGAGAAATGCTCAGCACAAAATGGGACTCTTGGCATGCAGCTTAAAAGAAAAGGTAAGAGTTCAGAAGTTTATAAAATCCCAAATGGGGTCAATTAAAAGGAGTTAGCAAAAGAAGGGACTGTTCATTGTTACTGTAAAAAAGGCACTTTGAGTAAATGGGACCAGAATTGGAGGAATCTTAGTCGACACAAAGTTCAGTTTGGTTTCATAAAAAGGCTTCAATGCTAAGGGATGCTACTCAAGTTTCCTGCAGTTTTACATTAAAATGAATTGCTGAGTAGTTTATAATAAAGGACATAAAATGTTTACAACCAACTTGTAAAATTAAGAAAAGCATAGTATAAGCAACATATTACTAAAAGCAGCAATGCATAGCCTTTCATTGAGATAATGCACAATTTTGGACACCATGTGCCAAACTCTTAAGATACTTTCAGTAGCATTATCAACATAAAATTGGCCTACAAAACAAAAGCTTTACCAGCTCCCATTCATAAGGAGATTGAGGTCATAAACAAACCAAAACAATTTGTCAGTATTTTCAACATCCTGGATGACCAATATCAAGTATATGGAACAACAATCACACTCTTTGTTCAGCTATCTCACTGGAGGCAGCCGTTACATCAGAGGAATGATTTTAATTCTTTTCTAACATTTACACAGTAATGCATTTAAGTTCTTTCAAATGTTGCTCACCACAGTTTGTTTTTCTCTTTTCTCTCCACAATAAAAAAAAAGAAAAAAAACCAATCAAGCACTTCCACAGAAAGAATATTTGGCAATTTTATACTCCACTGAATGGTGGATTTTCACAATAGCTCACTTTAGATTGAAAGTCATTAGTGGTCTTTCCTCTCGTTTCTGCCAAGGACTCTTCTTATCTTCACCTTGGTCATCTTCCTCATCCTCCTCATCCTCCTCATCATCTTGAACTGATGTTCCGTGTTCAGGACTAGTTAATGGCTCTGGTTTGGTATCCACAGTTCTCGTTTCCTCCTGCAGGCTGGGCAGCTGCACACCACCTCTTTTACTAGTGCCTTCTAGTAGGCATCGTAGAGCATTGTCCTCAGGGCTACAAACTGCTGTTCCACACTCGCTGCCACTTTGGTCCATATCATCCAAGTACACAAGTTGTGTGTAAGCTGTGCTATCTGAAGCCTTCCGCTCTCTCTGCTGGTGCTCTTGCACTGGTGGGTGACTCTGTGGCGCAGACAGATGATCTCCTCTTCCCTTTCGGGCAGATTTTGGTTCATTCATGTCAACACCAGAGTCCAAACTGGCATCGTTACTCCCATTCCTACCAGCTCTTTGGAGATCGATGTATGAATGTCTAACGTGAGCATTCGAACGTCCATCTAGAGAAACAAACCACGCTCGAGGATGAGGCAATGGCTTTCCACCTCCTAATTCCATCAAAGCCTTTTCTGTAAGAAGCTGCACTTCACTATTCATTTGAGCCAGGGATGCATCATTAAGTGAAGCAGGAAATTCAGACATGGAAGCATTCTGTTGACTCCACTCAGCTGCACCTGCATCTTGCAAATGTTGCTGAGATATTGCTTGGGATGCTAACTGCTGGGGTTGCAGCTGTTGTGGGGGGTGTGGAAAGAGCCGTGCATGAGGGTTAGGAAGCTCAGCCTGAAGTCTTTCTATATCAATCTGCTGGTCAGCTGGGACAACCAGCGGCTGGCTAACAAAAGGGTGTTCTCCTGGCAATTTCATGTAATGACCTGGGATGACCAATGCAGGCAAAACTTTTCTGTAAACACTGTCATTGACTTGGTCAACAGAATTGCAGCAGATTAACTGACCTGGTCGAGGGAAAGATGTAGGTCTTTCAAGGTGGTCAACTGAACGAGACATCATACAATCAGTAGGTCTGCAGTCCAGCAGCTCTTTTTCAGGGGCTGAAGGTGCGGGGTATATTTGTTCCTGAATATTGTATTTACTTCCAGTAGCAATATGGTTCATAGATACTTGAATTTCTCTTTCTTGCTTTTCAAATAAAGGCTGAGACAGCATAGCATTGTAACTTCTCCTATACTCATCTTTGATAGGGGACTCATAGCCTTCAGCTGTTTCTGTAGATTTTCTTGGCTTTAAAGGAAAACTATCTGCTGATTTGTGATAGTCTTTTCTTAGAGACCCGCTGGGCGTCAGGTCATCCAAGGAAATTCTGCTCTTGTCTTTCTCCTTGTCAGAGAGCAGCTCTTCTCGGGAGCTAAACTCCTGGGAAGTACTGAATGAGTGTTTGAGCATAGGTGTATGCATATCTGCTTCTCCACTAGGTGATACCATCTCCATGTGGACAGCACTGATTAATTCCTTTGCACCTGAGTTTTCAGTGTGTCCGTTGCTAGCAACAGACAGCCCGCCAGGAAATTCTGACTCGCGACGTGAAAATATTAAATTTATATGGGACATAGAGGTTGCTTGATCCTTTTTAGAAGTGTCCAGTGCTGTGGAAAGTTGCAGTTTCTTATGATGCTGACGTGGTCTTAAACATTTTCTTCTATAAAAGCCGGTAACAAAAGAAGTTACACATTTATGACTGTTGTACACAGAAAAAAGAATAGCAAGTGTGTCTTAATGGGAGATTTTTAAGCAGTGATTAATATTAGGGGAATTGAGATTTTGTTACAAAACCTAACAATTAAAAGCTTATTCCAGCAGCAAAGATAAAATTAAAGAATAACTAATGTCAATTGGGAAATATGTCAAGCACCAATTACAAATTGGAGCAAATGTCTGGAGGAGGCAAATACAAAATCACTCATTAATATTCACTTGCTGATAAGAGTTTAACATTCATTTTAATATAAGACTAATAAAAAGATCACTTGCAAGTGCAGAACAGGTACAATGACAGAGATCTTGTACCTATGCCTATGTTCAATAGGAGGTTTTAGAACATCTTACAAGGAAAACACAGGTACAAGCTGTGCAATTCATTCAACTACCATCTTACCAAAATCAGCAACTGTATATGCTGCATGTAAACAGGCACATATGAAATTTGATCTGTTTCTTTTTTCTTCAAGTGCTTGCTTGCCTTTTTTTTTTCCCAAGTAAAAATGTTTCAGTACAAAATCTTTTAATTTCATGAGCACAAAAAAGCTTACACTTCCAACACGAACTAAGTAACCAGGATGGTGAATCTTACCTGCAATAATACAAAAGCAGACACAGCAAGACTAGAAGTATGAGAGCCATCCCTCCTAAAATTGCCAAAAGAAACATTGTGTGATAGCTGGTAATGTCGTGTGTTACAACGGGACCTGGAAGGCCAGAAAAGAGAATTTAGACCTGTAACAACCTGCAAACAGGAAGAGGAACAACACTTTAAACAGAGAGGGACATCTTCCCCTGTTATCGGTGCTAAGTGAGCAACACTGCCGCTCATAGCCCTGGTGCCTATCGAGCAGACCATCTCTGGCGAAGGGAGCAAGTTGTGGAAAAAGCATGTGCTGGTTTTCATGACTGCAAGTCCAAATAGATCATTCTGTGGAAAAGCAGTTAGTTTCAATGGGAGCATGCATCACTGAATGCTGCCTTCCAGGTCCTGATGCCGACACAGTGCGCCAAAGCTCTCATCACTGGAGAAAAGCCTTCGCAGCATCTTCCAGCACTGTAATGCATGTAGCAGCACTGTGGCCAACAACTTCTCTTTAACATTTGTGGTGCTTTGCACTAAACAGTACATACAGTGCAGTACAGGATTCATTGGAAGATGTGCTGGTGCTCCTAAGTCTAGATCAAGCCAAGCCAAGCCCAACTTCAGTAGCTTTAAAAAACCAGGCCACTAGTGAAACAGTGTTGTAACTCCAGGTTTCAATAATGCTTAGTAAATGTTCTAACATACAAAGGAATGCACACATGTGGACAGCATCTGTTCACAATTATGCATGTGTAACCCTGTTGGTCTGTAAAATCCTTATCATGATTTTGAAATAAAGGCCCAAATTTTCATCTGCAGGCAAGGAGGTACAGCACCAGCTGACAGAGTAACATGCATGTACTGTGAAGGACAGCAAACTTGGCCAACATTAAGGTTTTAGATCATGAGGTTTGTGAAACCTCATCTGTGGATCTTGAGTGCTCTGTAGAGCCACTGCTAGGAATACAAAGCTCATTTTTGTCCATTTTTTGAGATAAGAAATCAAATAGATTCAATGAGGAGATAAAATAAGCAAAAAGACATTAACCCGATTAAAAACAACATCAAGCATATTGCATTTGGGAAATCTAAATATTTATACATTCTGTCCTGCCACTACCTTTGCATAATTGATTGATACTGTTGCTTCAGGACATTAAGCAAAAAGAAGAGATAAATCATTTGAATTTTTCATGAAAATGTTGTTCCCATTGCAACAAAGTTTTAGGAACCCAGCTCTAGCCCTCAGAAAGAAGCAAAAATAAAATACAAGTAGAAATTCTGCCATACAAGTTAAACTGGAAGGACAAATAAGCCTTCTCCTGTTAGAGTTACAGGCCTTCTAACCTTAGAGTTACAGGCACAATTTTATGACTAGTATAACTTCCTTGCAGTCTGGGACAGAGCTGTACTGGGATATGTTTGTCTCAGAGCAGTTGCTTTTTCTTAAAGTACAATTATTTTGTAAAATTCCATTAAATTCAATACGATAGTTTATTCAGATCTGCACCTGCCTCTACACTCTGTTCACCAATGAATCAGCTGAATATTCCAGCAGTTTCATTTAATATAACCTCAAATAAAAAGCTTGCATAAGGTATAACACAGCAAAAACCTCCAAATGCTCTGCATATACAACTTCATGGCATATACAAGCAGACTTCAAAAACAGTCCTCACGTTAGAGTTTGTTTTGCTGGTTAGATACAGTTTGTTTAGCTTGCACAGCCAAAGCAAGAATGTTTTCGTTCCTACTGTATTTGGTTTTCATCCAGAAAACTTAATAAAGAAAACCTGTAAGAGGAGGAGTTTTTTGTTGGATTGATTGGCTCTTTTATACACAGAGGTATCTCTGATTAGTGGTTGCTGAAGAACTAATACTAAGAAATCTGAGGCAGCCACAGACAGAAAAAACGAAGAGCAAGCTGCAACATTCACAATCTCCACAGGCACAGAAGTACGTATAATGCCTAGTTCAAAGTGATTTTCTGCAGTTATGCCAAGAGGCTTGCAGATGGCAACCAGTCAGCTCATCTACTAATGCCAGTCTGCTAATACTAGCACTTGGACACGAAGTTATTTGCAGTGTAAATCAGTCACCAAGATGATGCAAAGCGTAAGTCAGGGCAAAATGGGCATCTTCAGCGTAAAAAAAAAAAAAAAAAGTTACAATCAATCAATCCATTAGTACGTGTCTAACCCAGGATGATGCTGGTCTTAGGTGAATCCTTTTCTTTGGGAGTTTCCAAAAGGGGAATTTTAGCGTAAAAAAAAAAAAAAAAAGTTACAATCAATCAATCCATTAGTACGTGTCTAACCCAGGATGATGCTGGTCTTAGGTGAATCCTTTTCTTTGGGAGTTTCCATACAGAAACTTCACAGCACATATTTTTCTACCTGCTGGAACACCAATACATTGATGTTATAACTCCCCTCGTTTTCTAGCAATGGCTCTACCAGGCAGTGGTGACATAAATGCATCAAAGCACTTTAAAAAGTTTCCCATTGAAATGACTTAGAGATTTTGAGCACAAGGGTTTTCCCCCACAATCCCCAAAAGATTTTAGCCCTTTACTTTCAGCTTTCTGTTTTCTAATAATCCATTATTGATCAAGCTGTGGCATCTCAGATGAGGTCATTCTGAAAAATATAAACATTATATATGAATAAATAATTACTCAATGCTGCAAATATCAATAAAATTCAATTCCATCTTACCTGGGATAGTAGGTGACATAGCTGCAACCCAGTAGCCCAGCTGAGGTGCAATATAAGTCCAAGTCAACTGATTTCCTTCTTGTTGTACAAGGCCCAAACTACTCTTCAGCCATGTCCCTGTAAACGTAAAGATTGTAGGAAGGTGTTACAGATATATTCACACCTTCCTCTGCAAACAAGCGGAAAAGCAAGCAGTAACAAAACCTATCAATGTGCTGTAGGGATTGTGTGCCTTGCTGTGAAGTGGGAGACTGCGCCTTCTTGTCACTGGCATTTGAGAGCTCCCGCAAGCAGTCATGCCTGTGGCCTTCTCAGAAGCTTTGCACGCAAAAAACGTTTAAGATTAAATAAAACTAATACATCTTCAAAAAGGGTTAAAAGAAAATATTGTCGTATTAGATTCCCCTTTTTTGAAGAAGGATATTCCTGAAGCTGATTATATGTAGACAGCCCACTTAAAAACTGTATTCAAGAGAAATGACGTCTCCCAGACCACATGTGAGTTCTGCACACCAACTTTCTATCAGCTCTGGCTGTCAACTTCTAGAAGACTGAAGAAAATACATCCTCAAAATGTTGGTTTTCCTATACAGAAAACAAGCTTATGAATGTTACTACCAATAAATGTAGAATTAATTTGCACCATCAGTTTGATTCAGCAACATTAGTCATTCAGAATGTGCATACATCCAGGAATACTGTTTGGTAAGGGATGATGATTTTTTCAAAACATGTTTCTCAAAAGAAATGGAATAGATTTTTTAGAATTATCAAATGGTCATTTCAAAATAAATAAGATTGACAGTTTTAAAGCAATGTGTTTAAGTAGACATAACTCTTAAGTAGTCCAGACTGACAATCTGCATTAGTTGAGAGCTGTTCTACTTTCAGAAGATAAATTCTGTTGCAAAAATTGGGCTACAAAGAACTTTTACAACTGAATCAGCTGGATGCCTTTTTGCAATTCATTAAGACTGCTGATCCTGGGGCTGTAGGAGAAAAATTCACCTTAGTTTTTGATATATTAAATGTCCAGTATGGCTTGTAGACTGCTCCCATATTTATTTTCTTTGAAAGAAACACCAAATTGCTGGCCTGGACACTGAGAGCAGTCGCTGGGAAGCCACCCCTGGTGCCAGGCAGCGTCTCCTGAAGCTGCAGATGCCTGGCTTGGCATCTCCAGTGGGTGCCGTAACAGAGGGCTTTACATCGCTAAGGAGGTTCTTCACACACTTTGGTGGCCACCACCAGTACAGCTGATCTGTGCACAGAGAAGGGATAAACCCCTCTGCACTTCTGTAGTGCAGCTCTGTATTTCTGTGCAAAGGGGGGACAGAACGCTGCATTTACCTTACTCAGCTTCAAATGCTCACTTTAAAGGCAAGCTGCATCTTGTACTTGTGATTCCCTTTCCTTTAAATAGTCTCCTGCATGTAATTCCCGAAATGGTGCTTTGCATCAGACGTCACTCAGGACTAAGCATGAACATTTGTGGATGACAGTCGTCTGAACACTTAGCAGTGAGTGCAGGACACAGAAGAGATGCTGATGTTGTTTTGTTTTTTTAATACCACTGAGATCCTGATTATTTCCTCTGTGTTCCTTAGATTATCCATCTGTGCAAACCCTGTACATATGAGAATGGCTTTTCTGAGTATTTATTTCCTCTCTACTACTCATTTTTCCTATGTAAGTACATCTTTAAACTCCACCATCTTTGGCTAATAATAAACCCGTTTGAATATAGTGAAAGGTTTAGAAAAATAGAGGTTTGAGAGGATTTCTAGATCGAGGTGACTATTATTGCCAGATAGTGGCTCTGTATTTGCAACCAAACTGAATTTGTGGGCAACAGGGGAAAGGAACTACTGATACAATTTTCAGATTTCCAAGTATCATTTCCAGTCTGTATAGGGTAGCAATAATCTGTTATTTCATAAACAAGGTCACACAAGACAAGTAATTTTGATTCACAGTACCAAAGGACCAAAATCTGCGTATACAGATTTGCACATATGGCATCCATAACTGTCGCACCTTGATGTAGCCATTAGTTTACCTCTTTTAGGGAAACATTATCAGGAAGAATAGAATTGAATTGTCCACAGTTTCTGGAAAACTAGGAAAAGTAAATTCGTTTTCTCCACCGAAGTGACCACTATCCCTTCAGATTTTCTACCCGTGCACTTTTGGGGAAGATGCCGTACTAATAGCCCTGAACCACAAGTGAAAAACAGCCCGTAGGGTCAAAAACTGCTTCTATCTTGTGCCTAAAATGCCATTTGGTAAGAAAACTCCTGTAGGCTAAAACTTTGTAAGTTTTTTTCTGCAAGGTTTGGACAATGAGAATATGCACCAACTCTTCAAATACGCAACTATGTGATACAAAACTTTAAGACTAAAAGAGATATAAAAGTGCTGATAAACAAAAAGAACGGAAGGACCTGGGTGATGAATTCTTCATGCTTTCCATACTTCTCTTACTGTTTCTAAGCCCTTTAAATTCACACACAAGCAGAACACGTCTGTATGTAATTTTGCGAAGTTCATTATCTTCGTAGTCTATTTTTATAGTCACCTCCTTGAGCAGAAGCTATTATTGATTCCCTCACTAGAGGGAACTTGTGTCCAGCTTGCCTTATTCACATTACACTGCATTCTAATGAACACAATCCTCCTAATGCCTCTGTAAAAGCCTTTTGCTCAGTAATACGCTTCTTGCACAATGCAGTGATCAAGAAGCTAACAGGCTGCACTCTTACCGCTGCGAGCAGAGCTCCGTTGCCGTCCTGCCAAGCAAGCAGCAGCTCAGATTGCTCATATTTTAGCAACGAAAGGAATCCCTGTATTTGCAACGGAAGCAAACAATAGAGTCTACTGCACAAGGTCAGTCAGGTTTCATGCTTGTCTTCTGCTCATTTAGGTCACCCATTTTTGCTAACCACTGGATATACTTGAGGAAATGTACTGGTCTGTGTAACACTAAGGAAAAATGCAATTCCCTCTCTTTGTTATGGACAGTTAAGAATTTCAAAAGTGTAACAGATATATCCGATATTGGTCATCTTTAAACAAGAGTGATGAAGCTTTTGTTGACCATACCCTACACGTGAGTATGTGATGACAGCTAGAAAAGAATTACTTTTTAAATGGCACTGCCCCAAGTTCCTTCATCAGGACAATACCAAGTGTGGGTTCCTGGGAACCACAGGTACACAATCTCATCAGCTGCCTTTTTTAATACTTTCCTGGTCCAACCCTTTGGTGATAAACTCGCCTCTTATACTTCCACCATCTCTTACCAATAGTCCACTAATAAAACAGAGCATCCTCCCACAGGGTGGGATGAAGAGAATAAAAAACTCCATCTTTCACAACATCAGCAGCAAAACAGGTTTGAGTGGAAACAGTTGAAACACAAAGTCCTGTATTGTTTCTTGTGCGATCAAATAGCCAAAAGCCAACATAGTATTACTGGAGGGAACTGATATGCCTTCAGTATTCTGCAAATCCATCCGGGCGTTTCCAGGTCTCTCTCGTATTTCATCCTTTATAGGTTCTAATATCCTGGTTGCTTTTCAACTACCATTAAACACCAAGCAGTGTTCTCGTAGCTCCCTACATTGCTGTAATTACTAATGTTGGGCCTTCTACTGAGCAAAAACCCAATCGCATTGTACTTACTGGCTATGCTCTAGCATTTCAAGCTGCCTTGAGTAAGCACGAGTTCATTGCTGTGCAGCCTCGAGAATGAATTCCCTATCCCATCCCAGATTCTTCCTTGCAGCAGGAAACAAGACGTTTTCCTGTTCTAAAAATGCAGCTAATTACCCTCTTCTGTGTCCTCACGTACTTGCTTTTGTAAGTAAGGGAGGAGACTGGAGGGCAGTGAGTAAAGAACTTCTTCCGTTTTTCTGTCCTTTCCTATCCACTAGCCTGCAACTGGAGTAAGGGCAAGCAGCATTCATTTTTTTCTGTGCAGGCAGGATTACAACTGCAGGAGAACTAAGCAGAAGGATTTAGGAGGGAAGAGGGGTCTTACCTCCCTGCATGGCCAAGTGTTATGACAATTTCACTTGTTATTCTCCAAATATCCGATAACATCTACTTCCTCCCCCGCCCAAGTCAGCACAATCAACTGGCTTCACTGCTTATGAAGTTTTATACATGATGTGCAATAATTGTTAAGTAACAAGCAATACAGGATTATAAGTAAAAAGCAGTACAAATAGATGGATGTAATGGAACTGATCATTTTTGTTCAAGACTGGTTGTGTAGTTCCAAAGAAAACATGTCAATGCATCTTTGGAGCAGAAACAGCAAGCTCAGTATAGTTTGTAAGCACTGCATGATTTGGGCCAATTTGCCATTAATTCTTAAAAGAGTGTCTGGTGCTTCACGGAAAACTTCTATATATAGAGACATTCTTGCTTATAGATCATTTTTACATTTCTCTTCCTCTTTTTCCTCTATTACTGCTCAGTGGAGCCAACATGCTGATCCAGGATTCAAGTCAGGGGAGCTGTCTCCTGGCTCAAACTAATGGCAGGGGGAGAACCAAGAAGTTTCTTAACTCTTTCCTCACCAAAATTAAATTTAGTGTTACTGACTTTTTGGAATAAATGGTGTCATTTAACAAATTTCTTCTTAAAAAGCTTATAAAACAGCTACCCAGCACTCCTCCATATATGTAACTTAAAAGCAAGGTAAGAGAACTACCATCATTAAAACTACAAAGAATATAAAAAGGAGAGTACTTTAAAAGAAATACAAATCAAAAAACAATCAGATAAAGAAAGCTGGGCTCCATCTGGCTGCAAAAATACCAAAATATCAGAGACAAGTTGAAGATTTCAGCAGAGCAGGAGAAATAAATTCTGCTAGAGAGAAGCATCTTAATACTTTACAGCAACTTTGATTCTGATGAACATGCTTATTTATCTTGGGCAGCTTTTAGGACTTGCCAATGGCGGCAAGAGGGGGTTATCATGAGTAAATTTAACAGCAAAAGGTTTGCACTTTAAATCTCCGTTTCAACACACATTCTGCACTCAAAATGCCTTTTTTGTAATTTAATTTAGTTTTCTTCTAAATCGGATTGAAAATGGCACTTTCA